TTGGGGTCAGTCGTAACAATAAAATACCTACGAGGAAAACGTGAACTTTTAAGCTCCTACACACACACACGCTATCTTAACCATACAACAAGGCCGTCTGTTTTGACGTCTGTGTAACTATAGCTCCGGGACAGGAAAGTGCTCTAGACTGATCAATACCCCAACACAACGGGTTCCCGGTCGGTTACCAAGTAACGGCTCGTGATATATGACAGGAGGCGTGTGCGGGGCAGCTTACACGCTCAATACGCATTCGGTATATGTGCTGGAACAAAATTAAGAGGAACTAGTGCACCGTCGAATAAGTTCGTGGTACCGACTACTAGCAGGTTAATAGGCTGATAACTCCAGACCTGTATCTGCTTTTAGGATTCTGAGAGAAATTAAGAAGTTAGATCCTTGGTGAGTATATTATGCTATTGATTCCTCTATGTTAAGCCATACTGATATGTGAACTTCTTCCCCTTGCCTCCCTCCCCCTCGTTCCAATTAAAAGAAAATAACTAGTGATACGAGTAAAACCAGATACCCCTGTGTCATACGTATTTCGTTTTTGAAAAAAACTCGGCATTTTTTAGCTTTGCTACACTCCCTTCACCCCTTTACCCCCTTCAGCAGGACCCTGGATTCACCGGTGAAGGTGGTAATAAGTGTTTTTAATTAGTTGTGATAATTACCACGTTATCACTTTTTTCAAAAGTTATATAAACTTATGTCGGAGAGCAATGGCGGCAACTTTCATATAAATCGAGGGTAGGGGTGGGGAGAGAGAAAAACGTTCAGCGACAATGAAACAAAATTGCTGCTTGCAAACAAGGTTATATCAAATAGCTGCTGTTATGTGTGACTGTGATATGGTGATGATACTATATACTGCTGCATGTTTTTTCTATCACCAGTACAGAAATCTACAGTGAGAAGGACTGAGCTTTATCATGTGGGAATATTCCCAAGACAGCTTTTGTATTATTGATGCGATGGCAGGGTACGTTTGGGTAATATCCGTAATATGCAGCCGAATATGCTTATGGCATTATCGTAATATATATTTGATACAGTGTATGTCTACATGTATTAGGGGAATCCGACACCGGATTTGCCAAATCCGTTATAAAATATCTCCAGGAAGTACATGACTTAGTTGATTTAATATTTCTGATATGTACGGGTATATCCCTGGACGGTGTATTGTGGAATAACATCTGGATATGGACGTTTTCTTGATACAGTTAACCCCATACACCCTGAAGTCAGTCTTAAAACAAGTTTAGCTAACTCTGTAATTAATGTCCCCTCACTGTTTTATTGTTTGGCGTACTGGCTACGTGATACGTGATACACGGAAATCAACAAGCACTGTACTTGGTAAACATTCATGTGCATATTTATAATATACAGTTTGGTCATCCTCCATAAATCATCTTTGTTGTAAGAGAGAGAGAGAGCGAGAGAGAGAATGAGAGAGAGATGTGAAATAAAAGAGAGAGAGAGCAAAAAAAAAAAGATGGGAGCGTATTCAACATCATGGCACTCATCGAGCTAGCTCCATGTTTGCTGTGGGTAATACATAATTAATTTGTTTTGATTTCTATACATACGGGTATAGGCCTATGTGACGTCACAATGGTTTGGTGGTTAACAAGCTTGGTGTATATACAAATACTAGTAGACCAGTATGTACGTATCTATATTCATATTGTTTTTATATACAGTTAAAGACCTTTAGACAACCATCGTAAAAAAACGAAACACACACACAAAAAAAAACTTTCCATGTTTTTCCTCTAGTGTACAGGATTTCACCCGACATAATACCGGGGCACTCAGGTGGGTTGTCTGTCACAATGTATCTCCTGGCCGCAATGCCCTGCGGGTGATTTGCTTCAAAATTGCACGATACCAGGGGCGGATCCAGAGATATTTTCTGACAGTCTTCCAAATTATCTTTGTTGATCCATCTTCCATTTTTGACCGTCTTCCGACAGAAAACATTAGATGGCTGACAATGTAAACTTGAAAATCTGACCGTCTTCCAGAAGACCCAGAAGACGGCCTAAATCCGCCCCTGGATACCGTTTTCTTTCCTTTACGAAATATGGTAAGCTGTTTTATACACACGGACGGAAACTCTCATGTTCACAGTTAGTAAAATCAGTGTATTTGAGGATTGATGGTGGCAAAATAATACCAGAAGATGTTACAATATTCAGTCACTGTCTGCTGTTTCAGAAAAGCATTTCACTCCTTCGCACAAAAATAAATAAAGAAATAAACAAAAACACAAACAAACAAACAAACAAATAAATAAATAAGTGATTTTGTCCGACCCCGATAGGAATGCCTGCGTCACTGGTAAATCAATTTAGAGGTGAAAGCCCGAGTGCTGATCACAAAAAAGAACGCATGAAAAATGTGCCGCTATCAATAAAAACAACACCTGGGGTTATTACCTGACGAAGACCCTCTTTTTTGCATTCCTGGAAGATTTTTTATTCGGCTTGTCTTGGTGAGCAATTTCTCTGTGATACCGAGCCAGATTGTGGTGGGTCGTCTGCTTTTGTTTCTGAAATAGACAGTATTTTATTTCTCTTATTTCCAGTAAAAAAAAATATATGCATGCCAGACGTGTATTCTCTTGATAAATATGCCGATACGAAATATCATTATTATTTACAGGTTCTCGTCTGCTGGTTGAACTCTCTCTCACATTCCCGAGAACGTAGCAGACGATTTGGCCCAGGTGATGCGAGTCTCGCGACCTCAGTGAACTCTGAGGGTAAATATCCACGCAGTTGTCAAGACCTCGCGCCTACTTGTGTATTTTTAATTCAATATTTTATATTCTATTTTATTACAAATCAAGATTATCAGGTGCTGATGGATATTGAAGCACTTGTAAAAAGTCTGTAAGATAGTACACTTTACCTTTATTGCAAAGCCAAACAAAATTCATATGGTTAGGGTAAAGAAGTACATTTAGGTTAGCCTTGTATTTTAACGACGTAAAGATCCTTTTTATGTAGCCTTCATGTTGTCGTTAAATGCAGAAACTGAAACTAAAAACACATTATCTCAAAAGACTTACACGCATTGTGACAAGTGCAGTGACACCTGTTTGTATTCATTTGATGACAACCGACGACTGGGACAACTTGTAGAGGTCCTAATGGACCAGGGGGGAGGGGGGGGCGGTATTGCGATAGTAGCGACTGTCGACACATTTGCATCCACCGGTCACATCGTCACTGCTCTCTCTGGCTATAATCTTTTACATGGTATTGTTTCCTGAACAAGATGCTATCACGAAAATGGGTATGGACACCGGCAAGGATGTCAAGCACAATCGCTTTTTTTTATTGTTACGGGGTTTGTGAGCCCCTAATTAAGATGTCCCATTGATATAATCTGAACTTAGGCTTTCAAGAATAGGCCTAATTAACAGCATGCATTTGTGCCAGTACCCAGTATAGTTGTAGTACTCAAAGGTATCACGTTCTTAATTGGCAAACTTCAAAGAAATCACTCCAGACAATACAAATGAACACTAAATACTGCTTGTCACCCATTATCAAAAACGTGCACAAGCATGTAAAAGCAGTAGATAGATGCAATTTAGGCTTTGTCTCACGCTGCCGGGCACCTTTTTAAACAGAGAGAGAGGGCGGTCAGAAAGAGGGGAATGGGGTGCAACTTTGTTTCATAATATCCTGTGGAGACCTTTTAACCGCAGTATCACTTGAACTTTGTTCACAAGAAAGTCATGCAGGTTTGTGTTTATTACCTCCGCCAAGGAGGTTGTTTTCACCCATGTTTGTCTGTTTGTTTGCTTGTCTGTTTGTCATCAACATAACTCAAAAAATTATGGACCGATTTTGATGAAATTTTCAGGAACTGTCGGAAGTGGGCCAAGGAAGAGATGATTAGTTTTTGGTGGTGATCCAGATCAATTATAAACCAATAATCAATAATAATTATAAAAAATCGTTGTCTTGGCGGAGGTCTACGCTTTCCCTTTTTTTACCACTACCAAACTGATGCAGCTACATGTATGTGCACTTCTCTCCAGCAGAGAATCTTGTCATGAATTAGTTAGAGACATATCTGTAAATATCTAGTGAAATAAAATCCATCTGTGACCCTGGCTGAGGCTATAGGACGTTAATATTGCGTTCTAGGTAGAGGGAACCAAAATGACACCCCGTAACTCTATGTAAGGGACCATTCTCAGACCCTAACTTAAGCGGCCTAGACGTCGTGCACGCCTACTGAAGCTGCTAAACGAGGTAAATTACCCCCTAGCAGCTTCAGAAGGCTTGATTGACATTTAAGCCGCTTAAGCTGAAAGCAATTTAGCAAGAAACCACTGAGAGATGGATCGATCCTGTAAGTTCGATCTAGGTATGGGAACCCAGTCTATGTAAGTATTATAATCTGCATCACAACCAGCACAACGACCTACATCTATTCATTGCCAGCTGTTGAGCCGAGTGGCGTCTAAAAATAGACCAGTCTTGTTGACACACTTTCGGTCAATAAATTGTACGTTGTGTTGAAACGTCATATCATCAGGAAAACCCAAGGACGTTTCTGACTGCGATACCGCATTTCAAGGCTGTATCTTTCTATTTTGCAGGCATGGGGAACTTCGTGGACCCAACATGAAGGACAGATTGTCGTTAAAGCTGCGTCTGGCCAAGCGTCTTCTGCTGATTAGGTAGGACAACTTGGCCCAGTCGAGCCGGTGAGTTCTAAGGACGACGGAGCTTTATATACTCGAGAACAGCTGATCGCTTTCCATGCACGAGGCCACTGTCACCCCACGTGCTCCCCACCAATCACGACCAGGAACAAGGGAAAAGGGTTTGTTCTTTTACTTAAAGCATAAAACGTCCCAGTAGCCTCCACAAGGGATATGGACTTCGAGTTAGCATAATAAAGTGATGAACTGCGTCTAGGATTTTGCATTTCCACGATGTCATTCGTCGGGTCAACTTTAAGCTTAGCTGTGGCCGAGAGCGCTGCACATCACCGCAACAGCGCACACGAACCCGGCCACAGTGGTTTAACAGAGGACAAACATTTCTTACGAGTTCGACGGGATTCTATACAACCTAGCGATGAAGAAATAGCATTAAAGACACATACTACGGACTATGGTTGCGAGACTGTTGATATTCCCGAACCCTTGCCCCCGGATATTGATCGTGGATGGGCTTGGGTCGTGCTTGTGGCGGCGTTCGTGTCCAACTTGATTGCCGTGGGTATAACGCGCGCTGTTGGCGTGCATTATGTGACTTTCAAGGAAGAGTTTCGGGACAGTGCCAGCTTGACGTCCATGCTTGGAGCCGTGATGAACAGCGTGTCAGGCCTGTCAGGTAGGGTAGGGGATTTTAATTGTTTGGATGCTAGGTCGAATTTACGTACTGAGGCGGATGTGTTTTGAAGCAAACTGTCCCCAGTCTTTCCCTACCCACGCATTATCTGCAAATGTTCATCAGAAAAACATGTCTTGCAGTTGGAGATTTTATAATAAAGGACACCAAGAACATACACATACACATTGAACACACACATACAAATAAGAAGTAAAAGCAATACAAACTCTCACGTACAGGGTATTTCTTCATTAAGGACGAGGGTACACGCACGCGCGTGCTCTTACACGCATGCACACACATGTCTACTGGCACATGTACTAGCGTGCACACGCAGGCATTTGGAGATGTTTCGACTACTCCATCAGCAACTTGAGCTAGAGCTCAGTTTCGGGTCATGACCGCAGTTATTATTGAATATCAGCAATACATTACGCATTACACAGTTAAATCAATACATTTGACCCCGATTCAATATTTATGTAGCATACATCTTTGTTTTGATGGCAAGAGTCGCAATAAACGCATTTTTGCTAGGCCAGTCTTTATTAGTGTCTTCGCATGTGCGTACGCTGATCGGTCGTCCTTCCCTCCCCCCCCCCCCCCTGTACTGCTGGCTAGTGGGTGCGTTAATTGATGGCGTTTAAGTTTTATGTTTCCTGTTTTATCTGTTTGGAGTAGTGTCCTACATATTAATGTCTTAATCGTAAAATTTTGATAACGTTTTACGTCTTCTACACGTAGCTTACCCCTTTGACTCTGTCTTTAAATTACAACCGCTGAATTGGACAGATATTGTTAAAATTTGGAATTTATAGTGTTGGTGTGAAAGATGCAAATGTCTCGACTGTGTGAGATCTGTTGCAGATGCAGCCGTTGGAAAATTGTGTGTGTGTGTGTGTGTGTGTGTGTGTGTGTGTGTGTGCACCGGTATGTGTGCTTGCATGCGTGCGCGCGTGTATGTGATATAGCTAGTCAGTTTCAAACATTGCGTGTGAAAGTGAGTGCGACTGCGTGCTTATAATACTTGCTTGCGCATCTGTCGATAGTGACAGCAAATTTTTGATACGATGAGCTGCCTTAGAGACAATAATATATTTTTCTGGTCTATTGTAACTGGTTGCTATATGTATATGCTGGCTGGCTTCCCTGCTATTCAGCTCACAACACATCAATATTGCACGACGTTGCTGTCAGCAAACCGCGTATACTGCACGTAAAGCCGATTGCCTGTATCTTTATAGCACATTATACAATACCGGTAGATGGGTTGTAAGGTTACCAGTATATAAATATCCAAATTAACTCTACCAGTTTAAATAGATGACCAAAGCTATGATTTCCATTGTATTTAGTTCTCAACAGTAGTTGCCCTAAAAGAAAGTATACACGGAAGCACGACAGCATTGCGTCAGTAACAGGTTTTTTATTGCTTGTTAAATAATCAAGTCCAGTTAGGTTACATAGAAAAAACCCATGTCATACGATGCAATACTTGAATCCGGCTAATGTGAAAAGGATTGGCGTTGTTTTCTTTGCAGAGACTTGCTGTTTTGTCGTCTAGTATATTGTGGAACTCTGTTTACCCAGACTCTCTCTCTCTCTCTCTCTCTCTCTCTCTCTCTCTGAAATTTTATTGCCTCGCCCCTGCTGGGACGGCGCAAGTGGGAGGCGGGGAATTTATTAAATAATTGTTACGGGGTTATACGGCTTGCCTTCAAGTGAGCCACATGTTTAATCGGAAGAATAATTAGTTCGCGGCAACTGGTTGTGAACGCTCCCTTTGACCCGCAGCGTTCATTGTTTTTGCTTTTGAAATATCAGTGTGCAGGCAATATTGTTATACACATCTCTTCCTTACTCCACGCACGCAGCCAGGGCAGACTATGGGCTCATTCCCATTGAAGCTCTCAGTTTACGTAGATCGATCTAACATTGCTAGGATTCTTGATGAATGCAATCAGTTTAACAGACTAATACTCCTCCTCTTGTTTCCAAAGTAATCGTATAATCACCAGTTTTTCTGTATCCTTCTCAACGCAATTAAGGCTGAAGCTTGTTCCGTTCATCTGTTAAAATGATGCATTAAGCGACAGTCTTTGCGGAGTTCAGTGGGAACGAGCCTTATGAATGTATGTCATTCCACATATTGTGCTGCGGGTAGTGACAGTAAATTTTTGTATGAAATATTATAGACAGCAATACAAGTCAAAAAAGCATTGACAAAAATCTTTTGTATAAAGATGAGCTCTGCGTGTAGACCTTGATGTTTTGCACCTTCCATCCTTTAGGCATCAGTGCTGCTTAACCGGGCTAACCTGGATCCATTTATAAGCTGCTATGTTAAGGCGACTAAGGTGAAGGAAGTTCAGGTTGGCAGATGATAATGTGGTCGATTTCCTTTAGTCGTTTTCGTAAAATCTGCTATAGGTTTTTTAAGAAGAGAGAGAGAGAGAGAGAGAAGGAGAGATTCCTCGGAAATTGTGATATAAAAACTCATAAAATATCGCCTAGAAGCAGTTCTACAAAACAAACCAACAAAAAAGAGTAAATGCGTTTATGGGAGCCCAATTTCCCTTTTCCCTAGTTGCCTATGTATGGATTTGATTGACAGCGCTGATTTACATATCCTGAATGTGATTTTCCCTATAAGAAAACCTTTACCTTAGAGGGAATGTCTGAAAAGAAAATGCAGAAATTTGAAAAACACATGTCAATAATCTGATTGCATTCGTGTCTAAAACTGCACTCGTGAGGGCAGCCTTAGATTTATTTTCCCTCGTAGCGTATGCAAAAGTGGCTCCAAGATATTAATATTTAATAGTGGCTCTCAGATATTCATCAAGACTTTTTGTAGGGGTTTCGGGGGGGGGGGGGGTTGCGTTGGGGGGGGGGGGTGAGGGGGGCTGAGGCAAAACAGCCGGGCACAAGTTCTAAACCAAAACAGCCAAAGCTGAGGACGTATCATTTAAAAAGTATTTCCAATAAAAGACCAGTTTCAAAGACCGCGCTTATAAACCGGACAGGACAGGTCGGAACTGGCATTTATCAAGACAGGCTGATAGACGGTTCAGCGCTTTACATTTAGATAAATGCTCGGTATCCGTAGTTTATATACCGCAACCTATCCCGACCACGCTGTTTTATTTTGCAGAATCATATCTAACGGCAAGCTCATCAGATATATTTTGTTTAACTTTTCATCGCGCCATCACATGTAGCTAACAGCATTCCCTACGGACTGCAATGAGTCATAGGGCCCATTCCCATAAATATGATCGGTCTATCTAGATCGATCCAACTCCACGGGGACTCTTGCTGAATGCAATCAGTCTAAGAGCTAAACACGCCTCCTCTTGTGTTCAACGTACTCGTATAACCACCAACTTTCCTGTATTCTACTCAGCACCAGGAAGATGACTGGTCACTCAGTAAATCTGGTTGCATTCAGCGAAAGTCCTCTCTGAGTTGGATCGATCTACATAAACCGAAAGTTTTACTGGGAATGAGCCCATACATTTAACTTTGTCGTTATAGAACCGGTCTGACAAGACTCTTGTAACACATTACTTTGTTCCAGTGTAGGTAGGACGGGTACGTGAGCTGAATGAACGCGAACCAGTCTAAATGTCCCGATGGATAGACAATTGTTTTATTTACAATTGAAGGAAGTTAAAGGTTAAAGGAACAAAATAAGCACATTGAGGGGAATTTACGGCTGCACGACTTGCATTTCGCTCACATTTTGTGTAATATTTACATAATTGTGCCGTGCCCTTTTATTTTTGCTGTTCTCCGCTGTTTACCTACAATGGGAAAGGGAATCAACAGTAATAAAAATGAGCTTTAAAACACTTATGCAAATGTTTCACAAATGTGTGCATCTCTGACGTAGCTCACAGAGTTACTTTTTTGTGTGTAATGGCCCTTAATTTTATTATGTCACCAAACTCATAGACCTTATCGGTATTATAAAGGGGGGAAACTATATCTCCTTTAGATTATGAGTCCCACGCCACTTATTTAATCGACTGATGACGTCATGTAAACTATTTCACGCTAAAGTTAGACTCCGTTCCCGTAAACATCATATGGATCGGTCTACGTGAAAAGACCCAACTCTGCTGTCACCCTTGCTGGGTGTAATCAACTGAATGACACGCTTACTCTTGTTCTCAACAGGGGCGTAACCAGACCTTTTAAAATTGTACGCACAGATTTTGAAAATTCCCAGGTACGATTATATTCCGTGAAAAATACACTAAATTTATGGAGAATAATATCATGGTTGGCTCAAAAATTGTACGCACAGTGCATCCGTGCGTATGCCTGGTTACGCCCCTGCTCAACGTACTCGTACGAGCACCAAGGGGAGGCGTGTCAGCTGAATATTAAGCTGATTGCAGTTACCGAGAGTTCCTGCAGAGCTGGATCGATTCACGTATACTGATGTTGTCTATGGGAATGGGGTCTTAAGCTCGTCTCCAATGCGTACTGCGAATGGTGACTCAGACAAGGCAAGCCTCTGCGCACGATTTGGCAATCTAAAATATTCTAGCGATTGAAAATGTCACACTCGTGACGATGGGAAAATCGTGAACTGCTTGAGTCACCAGCTGACCTCTTTTTAATCGATTAAAAGATGCGATGTTGAAGTACGTTTGATTGTTTCTTTTTTGTTTCATAATGTTCGTGAAGGACAATAATTACAATATATCTATGGTTGGACAGCACCTTAATGCTCAACTTCATTTTTCTAAATAATGAAAATATGTATTGGAGAATAATTAAAATCACGAGTAAGAGAACCTGCTGCCTCTGTCAACTAGGTTTGCAGGAGAATGCAAGCTGATTCCCAACCAGTTACACACATCTGATAAAATCTAATACAAATTGCGAAACACCATGCGCGTTTTTTTCTTCAGGTTTTTTTATCCAGAAAAAAATGTCATATCAATCGTATCAGTAGCGGTAAGCCTCATGCAGGCATTTCACCAGAATTTAGACATAAGAAACGTGTTTTAATCATATATGTACGTAATTTGGAAATTAATCCCTTAGGGAAGGAAAGTAAATTTATCATTTTTTGCCCGAACTCTTGATTACCCTAAAAGTTTTCATATACCTGTATAAAATTTGATGTCAACTATCATATATTGACAAAGCCCTAACTTAAATAATGTTAAAGTGGGCAAAATTCCCTCTCTGAGAGATAGTAAGTCCGGTGTAGCGCGAACTTTAAACAAAATGTCCGTTGTCCTTCCAGGTCCTCTAGCCAGTGTGATAGCTAACCAGTTGAGCTGCAGGGTCAGCGTGATGGCGGGAGGGGTGATAGCCGCGGCCGGATGCATAATAAGTGCCTACGCCACCAGTATCCAATACCTGCTGGTTACGTATGGATTTCTGATTGGTGAGTCGTCAAGGTTTGTCACGTGGAGTTGGCGTGGACGGATTTTGAATAGCGCGTGGCCTGAAAATAAGTTTAAGCATTAAAATGTTATATTTGTGATAATTTGTTTTATTCATTTTATGTTATTTTTTGTTCATATTCTATGGTCTATTCTGGTGATCATGCGTATCAGCATAATTCAAAATATCAGTGTTTTAAACACGGGGATTTCTCTCTCCCTTATGTTCTTATCTAATACATAGATTTGTGCAATGCGCGTTTTATTAATATATTCACTTTCGCTTTTATCAAAGTGGGCGTATACCTTTGTCTGATACGGTCTGCTTTATTATAACGATTTTACAGACGGACAAACATGTCCAGTAATCGAAAATCGAGACAGGTTATTAATAGGCCATGAACAGCACACAGAGTGCACACGTATGTCCTGGAAGTAATACGATCACAATCACGCAGACAGCATGTAACACCGTATACAATACCCAAGGCCATTATTGTCTGCTTGATAAGTGCATTTCCCATTTTCGTGGAAAGACCGTGACACAGTGCGGGTGTGAATGTGAAGGAGAGATACTCTCTTTTGCAGTTATACGGGGCTCAGACTAGTAAGAAATAATTCCCATAGACACCATTGGTCTACGCAGATCCAACCTTTCGGGGACTGTCGCTGAGTGCCACCAGCTTAAATGAATTACTCAGCTCTTGTTTCCCACGTATTCGTATAATTACTGTTTTTTTTCTGCATTCAGCGAGAGTCTCCGCGGAACTGGATCAATCTACGTAGACCGATATTGTGTATATTGGAAAGAGGCCCTACTCTGTACTGCCTTATATATTTTGGTAAAAATGAACCTATTCAAATGGGGACGTTGACTCCTCTTCATGTTAAGAAACCTCCTCATGAATTAGATTTAAATTTAAATCTCCGTGGAGAATGTCGACGCAAACTTGCATAATGATCCGATGCACCTGGTAACCCCCAGTATCTCCGTGAGCTTGTCGATCTTGTATACTTACAAGAGACTCAAACACACAGATATGACACTGGCCTGCAGCTAAACTGCACTCGATGATTTCGTCACGTATTGTCTGCAGCCTTGCACTGAGTTACGTGCACTGCTATTATCTCCAAGCGTCCTTGACGGCTGGCATTAACCAGTTCTTGAATTTAGAATATTCATGCGAGCGTCTGTGCTTTGTCCCCCTGTCAGAGGCTACTAGTCAAAAGCACACGTTCAACCGTCCTTGCAATCATGTGTGACCACATTATTATAAATAAAGTACTAGCAGGTACAGCGAACACAATGAAATGTTCTTATTAAAGCTGATATCATTGAAATTGTCTATAGTACAGGTAGCTGTAGTTCATTTTTTTTGGGGGTGGGGTATCTATTACGTCAATATAATTGCCACCCATCCTATTTCTTTTAACAATAATATTATGCGCTTAAGTGATTTGTACTGATTGCACTAATTTTAAAAAGGGGGGGGGGGAGGTTCCCCTTGCCTTTTTGTAAGTATATATCTACATATATGTACGGTATTGAAGCCATGTGAATATGGAGAAATATCAAACATCTAGCTTCATTACAAGAGCTCCAATTTGAATTTATGTCTATATTTAATAAAAGACGTTTGTTTTCTTGTCGTGAACACTTGTGTGCACAGCTTTGAAACGTCCATGGTTGCACTGATAAACACAATCATAAAAAGCTGAAGATAAAATACATAATTGGGGAGATACGTTGTTAAATGTACAGTCTGTGCACAGATCATGATCAGCAGAACAATGTTTCTGAATATAGGTCAAGGTCAAGGCCATCCGCAGTCACTTAGTGCAAGATTGAAATGACATGTACCACGTTTTTCAGGATATCTAGTGAGCATCATCTGACCACTACGAACAAGAACTTTCAAAGATAAACCCCATGCTACATGTAGGAACGCATGGGTCGTGTGTCATCACCACTACGAACAAGAACTTTCAAAGATAAACCCCATGCTACATGTAGGAACGCATGGGTCGTGTGACATCAGTCGTGATCAGCTGATGGTGTCTGCTACTGGGGCAGATAAGGGTTATTTGAAGGGGGGGCTGTTTTTTAGTAATGACAGGCGTTGGATGCAAAGCAGACCCTCGCCCCCTTGAAACAAAAAATTGGTGTTTTGGAGGGCAAACGGTGCCATTTAGTACGGTTTAGATCTATGATTCAGCGAGTCAAAATTCTAATTTCAAGAGGGGATTCAGCCAAACTCCCCAGTGAGTTGGGTCGCTCTACGTAGGTCGATAGTGCCATTGGTAATGATCCCTTAGTACTCTCAATAGCCCCGTATTGCCACTACTATGTTTTTGATAACATGGTGGTTGTGCTGTATGGTGAATAGAACTCAATTTTCAGTTTCGTTGCTTTTCACATAAATCTCGTATTATTGCTCTAAGATAAGTGACTTGATTTGTTGAATGACAAGTGAAATATTTCACTTCTGGATTTGCCTGGGTATATGGCAGTTGTGACAGAACTGATAGTCCGCTCTAAGAACTGGTTCACATATCATTAAGTTGTACAGGATTTTTGTCCTACATGTGTGTACTGAACCCTGTAACTACGGTTAACCATGAGCTGAACTTATCATATGGGACCTCGGCCTTGCATTTCTAGGACTATGATTCCTGTCACACCGACACAGGCGTTGATTACGTGAATTTTGCACAGATTTAATGAACTACTAATCAGTGTGAAATGTTATCCTAAAACGTTAAAAAGCTTTTAGAGATTTTTAAAAAAATTTGACTGATGGTATTTCGAATATTATAAGTGATTTGTGTCCCCGGCTATTACCTTGTAAAGGAATCATTTAGTCAACTGCAATTTAAAGGCTACGTATAACTTTTTTGTCTTTCAGGTCTAGGGATAGGACTTGTCTACACGCCCACAATGGTGATCGCTGGACAATACTTCGAATACAGACGCTCCCTAGCCCTAGGAGTAGCCACAGCCGGTCTGTCCTTTGGACAGTTCATTTTGCCGCCAATATTACAACTCCTCACAGACTACTACACGTGGCGGGGCTCCATGTTCGTCATTTCCGGTTTCTGCCTTCAGTTTTGCGTCTGTGGCGCCCTCATGCGACCTCCCATCATACCAGAGCGACCACAGAAGCGAGCTCTAACCCAGGAGGAGGATTTAGTCAAATGTCAAATGAGCCTCAGGTTTCTTGACCTAAAGGTACTTAAAAATGCCGGCTTCTTGCTCCTTGTCGGCGCCATGTTTTTACGTTCGATGGGACTTGCCATTGTCAACGTTCACGTTAACGCATACGCCGTCAAACAGGGCGGAGCGACGGAATTCCAGGCGTCCACCCTGGTGTCAATATGGGGTGCCAGCAGCCTGTTTAGTTGTCTCCTGACAGGAGCAGCAGCCAACGACCCAAAGGTTGTTGACCCCTTGGTGATGCTCTTTGTCTCCCTGGGGTACAGCGCCCTCTTTGCGTTCTCAACGCCGTTGCTGATTGGTTCGTACATCACCCAGGTTCTGTTTGCGGCCGGGTTTGGGGTGTATATCACGTGTTTTGTCGTCCTCATGGCGCCGATGATCGTCCGCCTGATGGACGTGGCCTCTCTGAGCAGTGCCTATGGATACGCCATGTTGCTGGATGGCATTGGGTTCTTCATAGCTCCCCCCGTGGCAGGTAAGTCACTAGGAATGGCTTCTTTCGAAATTCTCGTCTTTTCACGCAATATTTGAATAATAGCTGATGATGCATTGAAAGTAAAACTACAAGAAAGAGCGATGCAAAATATCCTAGCACGGCAATGGTTTTAGACGCTTTTCAATAGTTAACACTCAAATAATTGAAACTCGCTGTGAACAGCTTGCCAGCGCACATCATCTGTGTGCACTTGTAACCCCTGTATAAGTAACGAATAAAAGTAGTTTGTATTTACTATTCCAGGATACTTGTACGACATCACACAAGACTACCAGTACTCCTTTTATATTGCAGGTAAGATACTTGTTGCAATCATCGTGTAATATGGTAACAAGTATCCAGTTTATAATTTAAGTTGGCATAATGATGCGACGTTATTTTTCAATGCTAATCGCTACTGCAAATAGGTTTCATTTATGATTAATAACGTTTGACATAAATGTCAACAACATAAGGCATTTCATATGAAAGAAAAAAACTAGAAAGAACTGCTATTGACGTATTGCACTTCCTTGTCAATGACGTGCATGGTTATAGCTACGGGAACCCACGAAATTAATGGCTTTATTTGCTATTCATTTGATTTCTAGGTGGATGTTTGCTACTTGGGTCGATCATTCTGTTGTTTATCCCGCTGGCAGCTAGAGACGTGTTCAGATCACGTAAAAATATGAGTGTTGGATGAGACGCGGTCACTGTGGCTGTAGCAACCAAACATTCGTTTCCGG